GCGTTTTTGCTTGCGCTAAACAATAAACCAGCTAGAAAACTGGTCCGAAGGACAACAATTGTTCTTTGTGGCCAATTTCCGCAACAGTGGATATTTCGAGAAGAACACTTGGAAAATGCGGAAAAACTCTTTTTAATGATAGACCTTTCGGACATCATAGACTATTCAATCAATTATGAGGTTTAAAGTAACAGTCCCAGCAGGGTTTTTACCTTCGACACTAATGGTGTGGAACGATGCGCTAGCCCTAGTCAAGAACATAAGAAGTGTGACTGAACAAAAAACTCACCTTGGAAAGCCGCTAGAAAGGGAGCTGAACGGCTTCGAAGTGGGCGTGGTTGGAATCGGCCGAGGGGATTGCAGCCGACTGAGCAACCACGCCCAAGCCGTTCAGCTCCCTTTCTAGCGGCTTTCCAAGGTGAGTTTTTTGTTCAGTCACACTTCTTATGTTCTTGACTAGGGCTAGCGCATCGTTCCACACCATTAGTGTTGAAGGTAAAAACCCTGCTGGGACTGTTGCTTTAAGAGCTGAAAGGGTCACCGTACAGCTGAAAATGCATTACAATCCTCAGTTGCGGAACATTCGCATCAAATAAGTCGAGTAAAATTGATCGTCAAGTAGATTTTATTCTGCCTTCCCAATTCTCTACGAGAATGAAATATTCATTCGTGTATCAACGAGATCAGATGAAGTGAAGCTTATGGCGCATCTCGGAACAATTGATCGAATTATAGAACCTTTTTAAGAAACTGACTAAATTTGACAGTTGTCCCGAGTTTCAGCTAATCAATATCGTATTGACTAATTCCCGCCCTCGCCATTTTCTCGAAATTCGGAAGCAGTACTTCCCAGAAGACATCACTCGAATGGATGTTGCTGTAATGAAACCGCCCCGAATGCAGATCGCCGCTGAACGGGAGCCATTTTTGAGACTCCTCAGGGAGATTGAGGTATACTGTCTGCCAAGCGGATCCCAACCGAGCTTATATATCGATTTATTGATTGTTGGATTCAGAGCACGCCCTGTTCTGCTGGCCGAAATAGTACCTGAGTTTTGGTACTTTGCATTCGAAAAGTACATGGGAGGATTGGGTTTCGTGGATGCGTGGAAAGCAATCGTCGACGATGAGGAGGTGAGCTTCTTACTGATCAGTCGCCCTATTTCATCGATATTGATTTAATCGATTCAAGGGCTTTTCGGAAAATTTACGAGGATTCCTTAATTGGCCAACGACAAAGATACTCTTACGACTGTACTCCCGTTCCAACCAACGGCAACAACGGCGTTTCGGTTCGATCACTCGTTTACGGGCATGTCGACAACTGATGATAGCTTATCGCTGCGATTGCGCTCAAATGATGAGGTTGAGTAGGGTTCATTTATAAGAAACATTTGATTTCTCTGAGACTCCTCAAAGAACAGTAGCGGCTTGAACGCTTAGCCCCGATTCGATAACTGTAGAGCGGGGCGGAAAAAGTGTCGGGGCAAGAGGCGCTGCTTACCGCGCGCGAGGTCCGAGGATCAAATCCGGGATCGCATGTCGTTCGAGCCAAACGAGCCGTCCATGCCTCCGTGCTCCATCATTAGACATCAGGCTTGCCTGGGAGAAAAAAAAACACTGGTTCCCATTTTTTTTCTCTGCGGCGAGCACGTGCAAGACGCTTTAAAAAGTCGACTTTTTTTGCTAAGCGCATGATCTGATGGAAGTGGAAGCGTTGCGCATGCCCCAAGAAGAATGGCGCTTCACGATGCCTTAGCTATTTTCTACCATAAGTTCATATTTGTTCGCGTGAATACCATAAAAAGAGGTATGCGTAAATTATTACCTCTATGGGATGCGCCACGCATTCAACTCTCTTTTAGAATCACAGCAACATTTGAATGCGTATTTGCCGCTCAGCTGTGGATTGGCAGATGTCTATGCTAGTGCTTCTTTCCTAAATCTGCCTACCAATGCTGAGCGTAGGGTAGGGGGCAGAAGGCCGGGGTGGCCTCGCTTAGGCGGAATTTCGATCCGGAAGAAAGCCTCCCCGGACGATGTACTAACCATAAGGGCATGCGAGTGGCGTGGAATTCGATCCGAAAGAAGAGCTCCCGGACGAGGTACTAACCATAAGGGCATGGCGAGTGGCGTCACATACATTCGCTGATAAACGTCATTGGACCTAAACATCAAGAATCGAGGATCCCAAGGATTTCGATAAATCAATATAGCTAATCGTGGAAGCTGGTCCACGTGCTGATAAAATCGATATCAAAGGGATCAATATTGCGGCGTAACCGTTTCAGAAAACTATGCGACGATCACCCACAATATGCGTTGAGTACCTACACACCATTATGGAATCTTGCCGACCAATATGAAATTATGTGGCCGCAGACACTTCAGGATCTCTACATATCGATTGGTGAGATTGATTTATTGATTGATCCGATTCTGGTTAAATTGAGAATATCAATTTCAGCTGTAATGCTGTGTGTCGCGCTGCTATTCATTCCACAACCACTCTGTGCACCACTGATTGGCATGTCGATCGCGTCTGTGGCGCTTGGTGTACTTGGCATCATGCCATTTTTGGGTGTGAATCTCGACGCGACATCGATGATTACGATAGCAATGAGCGTTGGATTCTCTGTTGGTAAGTGGACTATGATACCACTATCAAGCTGTCTATGGGTTACATAGCGCTCATCGTCAGTTTCAACCACTGCTTCTCTCAAATAAAGTGAAGCGAACCTACTAGTCGACATGGACGCGCAAAAAATGGGAATGCGAAATAGTTTAAAGGCAAGCCCCAGGAATAGCCTACGTAGTAAATAGGATATCACAAGGGAACTTATGGAGTCCTTCCCTACTGAGAGCGTGCCACTGCCGTCGCACAAAACGCGCGGTCCAGTTGCTAATCCATAAAGGTTTGAAGTGAATCCTGTTCACGTTCGTGCGTTCGACACGTGGATCCGTACCTACCATGCATTTCGTCACAAAAACTTCCGGTCCCGCCCACTGGTCCATGGTCCGTGGAAGATTCCTTTAAAGGGATACAACCATCGACCCTTATCGCAACGCTTTCCACCCACCGCGATTGATGTGGAGATCAGCGCGCTCTCAACGGCGTGCTCTCTCGCTTCTGTCTTCTTTGATCGCTTTGTCTCGCCGTCGTACCATACTGGAGGTCAAGGCCTTAATTTTAGCGTTTCCAATGGTTTCTCTTGCTTTCTTTCCACTTTTAGTTCATTCGCAGCTCATCCATCACTATGGTGCGCTCATATACACGACTTTATCCCGAGGTTTGCTTTCAGAGGGAGGGATCACGATAATGTATGTACTGCCTGGAAGTACATGCATCAGCAGAAGCAGTAGCTAGGGGCCAAGGAACGAAGATGTGCCTTTTTCGTGGTCAAAGGTGCGCTAGTTGCAGCGCCCTAGGGTTGCCAATCCTTTCTGAGCTCCGCCACTGCCTGTGCTCCACCCACCAGTAAGTTGCCAGTATCTGCTCTTTTGCAGATTTCGCCGCTCACGTCTCTTACGCGTTCATGACACAGAAGATTGAAGATGGTGACCAGAAAAAGTGAGTTTTATTCTTAAATAACATTTCCTTCCCTAGATAAATAAGTAAAAGGTCTGCAACCACCTGGCGACTATAGATCGAGAATAATACCTTGAAAACTCATAGGAACCAACCCATTCTGCCCTTATTGGAAATCTCAGTCCTATCTGGGCAGGAAGAGAAAGACTGATACTGTGATCGAGGGGAACGCATAACGCTATAATGTAGGCCAAATACGCATTCGATGATCTTCATGATTTTAAGCAAATCTAATCCGTGGCGAAATCCTGAAGAGTGATATTAAGATTTAGCAACTCATTTTTGAACCATTTTCTAATTAAGGGAAGACCTCACTCAACGGATAAGATTAGCTCAGAATCATTAGGAGTAATGTTTGAATGGTAACTTGGACCAGAGATTGTCTTACGATAATCGGAGCGGATACCGTAAAGAGGGCTAGGTCAACAGCTTAAAGCGAGGGATTACGATAAGTTTGGACTGGGTTCATAGTGGAAGTGGAGATGCTGAATAATGCCCCAGTGGCGAAAAAAGCAAAGAAATCCGTCAAGAAGGCGCAAAATGGGACCCCTTTCTTTGCCCGTTGACCTCCGATAATGGACGAGCTAGCAACCAATTAGGAGGTCGTTTGCACATGTTATGCTGATAGGATACACTCTGGAAGTGGAATATCTCGTCACATTGGCAATCGAAGGGCGCTGCTGCTGGGGGCGGAGCACAGACCGTGCGGGGCTCAGAAAGGAATGGCAAGCCTTGTACGCTGCAACTAGCGCACCTTTGACCACAAAAACGCAACATTTCGTTTCCTTGGGCCCCTGACTACTGCTTCCAATGGTGCATGTACTTCCACGCTGCATACGCACTTTATCGTAATCTCTCGCTTTAAGTGGGTTTGGCACTGGATTTTCGGTGGAAATATCTACCCACCTTTAGCCTCCTGGACTTTCATTAGGAATGAGCTTAGCGAAGCCAAATCAAAAAATGTCCGCGGGTCCAAAAAGCCCAGTCTCATGTTGCCTTTTCCCAACTACTCCTCTTATTATGAATTATAATCCCACGATTCACCTGCTCAATCGATAATTGATTTCAGCGCGCCATTCACCCGTCTACAGTCAACGCTCGGCACTGTGGGTTGGCCAATCACTCAGGCGTCGATGTCCGTTCTCCTTGGGATCTCTTCACTTGCATTCGTTGACAGTTATGTCGTACAAACCTGCTTCAAAACTGTCCTACTCGTTATTACATTTGGTGAGCTTACTGATTGGAATTGTGGATCAATGGCTACTTGCGCGGTTATCGCAATATGAACCTGGATCGAATTCAAGGTCGAAAATCCGTTGGGATTTTCCCAGCGGAGAGTTAGCAAAATTTTTGGATGAGTGAGGGCTCGTATCCCTTAACCCTTTTTGGAGGAATTGGAGGCGGAATTGAATTGCGGAATCGGAATATTTTGCAGTGCGTGTCAGATAAATAGATGAACACGATTGACCGTTAGAGGGAGTAGGGATCCCTTCCAGGAAGGGGTAGGGCTGCTCGAAGTAATCTTGAACTCAGCGAAACGGAGAATGACCCTGATGGATATAGAATCAAACAGTTTCGTGGAATCGAACCCCTATCGTAGGTTAGCACCACTTAGGTCTGAGAAGGCAGCACTGTTAGAGACTTAATAGATCACTTCTTTTCTCCTTGTTCCAGACTTCTATTTCCTACATAATCGACACTTACACCCGCAAGTCATTACATCAGGCCAATACACACTCAACCTCCACTACGAGGGCGAGCTAAAGTCGAAAGCGTAGCGCATCCCAAGAGAGAATCGAAAATCTTAGCGCTTATCAAGGCCCAGTCTTCGTCTATTTGTGATAACCTATACTCTACATTTTCAGGGACTATTCATGCGCTAGTCTTTCTTCCACTGGTGCTGATGTACTCTCACAAAGCCTACCTCTGCTTAGCCGATTTATCACGACGTCGACGATCTCCAACACAAATCCATCCACGAAAGCAACTCGAAGTTAGAAGATGAGGAATAATAGTGGACTCGTAATATATTTCAATGATCTGTGATTTTTAACTTGTTTGATAAATTTTTCCCCAAACCAAACCAACCTCTTTTCGTCACTCAAAAAAATATCGTCTTCTAAATGAAATTATGTCGTTGGAGTCGCTCCCCTGCCTCTGTGAGTCACTGGTCCAAAAACGCATATCCAGGATAGAACTTTACACAACTAGCATCGAATATTTTGAGCATTAAAAGGAGAAGGAATCCTGCATTGCCGCATCACCGTCATATGATCACTAAAGCACGACTACAAAGTTTCCCACAGAAAAATTCACAAACGCTACGAAACCACAAGGCACCAGGACTGGGCGCGCGGGTACGGTCGGGCGGAGACAGCGGGACAGGTCAGTGGGAAAAAACAGTGCACCTTGAGGCCGACATAATCAGGCGGCGGCAGTTGACAAAAATGCGGTGTTGAAGCGTGGTCGATTTGGAGAATAGAGCGAGTAAAGCGGTCAAAGAGGAATAGAATGCAAAAAAGAAAGAATGTTTTTGCTAAAGTTGGGGAAAGAGTCAAAAAGGAGTACCTAGATGAAGGCAGGTCGGACCGAACAAGCGAATGGTTCCGGTTACCAGCACTTGTGAAAGAATGACGGCCGGGGAAAAATTTTGAGAGCCAGCGCAAAGTCCTTCCGGTTCTTCGAATAGTTAAGCCGCAGAGACAAACGCATTGTTGTGCGTTCGTTTCGGTCATGAAAGGAGGGCGTCGACGCCGCTGAATGATTCACTTGGGATATCCGAACCATGATTGTTTCGGTGAGACATTCCTCTGCGCGTAGCTAAGCCTAAAGGATTGCCAAGGAGATGGGGGACGACTGTCCTCGAGAGTGGCAATTAGAACATTTAATCGCGTTCAGGAAACAATCTAGGAGTCGAGAGTTTCTCTGAGCGCAGCGGCTCTGTTGCGCGGGGAGATTGTGAAACGCTTCCTAGAGCGGCCTAGCAGGACCGTGTGCTGGCTGCGGCTTGCTGACTCGTCACGCCCGGCGAGTGACTCGTTTCGCAGCTGACCCTGCGCCGGCCCGGAACAGGAGGCGTTTGGTAGGAGTAGCAGGAGCTAGCAAGGTACGGTCGGAGCACCAATGAGACTCACAAGGGCGATAAACGCACGGAAAAGCGCGCGTTTCCTCGTGTTTTGCTTAGATATCTGGCCATGCGAAGCTCACCTCTGCACTCATCTGCCAAAGGCGCATCGTGTAAGTACCGCTGTCCACAGCGACAGATGCAATCACGGTGCTGCCCTTGTTGGATGCGCCAAGATTTAATTCGCGGTGGAGTGCAGGGGTGATTTAGAAAGGGGTGATGTGATGCGTCGTGGTTTAGGTAAAGGCAAAAGTCGGGCTCAATAAGGGGTATTATGGCGATTGAAACTGAGTATAGAGATGCGAAGTGGAACGACAGTGGAGAAAAAACTGAGAAAACCGTCGACAAGGCCGTTAACAAAACCCTCTTTCCCACTAGCAGTGAAGGAGGCTGGCTTGGGGAAAGAGGCACGTACAAACAAGTTTTCTGGAGATGTCAGTCGTTCTATCGGTTGATACGGCAATCAACCTAGCTGATTTCACACGTTATGCCAGCCACGCACCACTTCCGGAGGTGGGCGGTCCTGGATTGACCAGGCGGCCCTGGATTGAAACCGAACGCCCCGGGGCCTTAACGGGGTTTTTCAAGGTGGGAAGTTGCTGCAATGTGTGCAGCTACCCACATACAACCTCCAGGCACGGGAATTACTTCTCTAGCGTGCCTGAGCCCGACCTTTGCCTTTAAGGCAATTAATGCACAACTAAATATTTTCGTCCTCCCAGACGAGCATAGTATACATTTTCCCACTCCGAAGTGATAGCCACTTTCCTTGTTTGGGCGAAATTGACTTCTGGATCATAGAGGCGAGATCGGACCATTTGCAAGTGTTTTCTTCTAACTTGGTTTGTGTTTCACCTTCAACAAGCCTATGAGGTACAAGAAAGACCGAGGGAGCCGAAGGGTCAAGAAGACCTACACCATGGACAAATGTTGTGGCATTAGTGCAAGTACCCTCCCTTTCAAAAAACGAGAAGAGCGTCGGGTGCAGACCATACACCACAAGTGACGACGGCCTCCAAGTAAATCTGGAAGTGGTTCATAGTGATAGCTGATTTTTGGTAAATGATAGTTGTAATTAGTGACAACTGATAGAATACAACTGCAACAGGCTAATCATTTCATTGGCAGAAAACATTACATTTTGTGGAGGCCGTCGTCACTTGTGGTGTATGGTCTGCACCCGACGTTCTCTCGGGGGATGACTCCAATCATATATGTGTGGTTCTTCTCTGGCCCATTTTAGTCAAAAAGTGAGACCACCTTTACGTTGTCCCACCTTGACATTTTTTTTCGTAAAATGTCACCTGATTGCAAGGTTTTTCCGCCCTGTCATCAGATGATGTTTTATGACGGAAAAGAACAATCGGAGTTTCCGTTGAAGTGATGTTTTAACATGCACGTCACCTTTAGTGGCTTTTTCTAGTGACCTGAAAGAAGAAGAAATCTCCCTATTACAATACTCGCTTTTGATGATGATGATGATGAGCGCGCATCGCCCCGCACCCTTGGGATCCGCCGGCCTGTCGACTAGATATATTTCCCCTTCTTCGACCTCCGACCTTATCGTGGAATCCTCCTCTAGAGGCGAAAAGGGCGAAAAGACAAAATAGGTCAAAGAAAAGCATGAGCAATTGAGTCTATCCCGCTCAGCATGGTCCGGGAATCGAGTTTTGCACAAACCGAGCCGCGTACTTCCTAATTCTCGAACGAATAGCGAGAACCAGCACGTTCAATGCGTTGGGTGGATTAGCCGACTGACACACTTTATTTTGGCTAATTCCAAAAAATATTATGTAGGTTAAAGGAGGAATTCACGATAAGAACGAAGGTCAAAGAAAGGGGAAATTGCATAGTTGGGAGACAGGCGGACCTCCTGAGGGTGCTGACCGACGCGCAATTGGCAGCGAAAGATTTGACCTCGGCGATCTAGCATGGCTCACTCTTGGCGCGGTTGGCGGGGTACGCCCACCGACTATCTAATCACTCGCCGCAGGTCTATACGTGGCGAGTGATTAGATAGCAGAGAGAGCGTAGTGTTGAAGAGGGAGGGCACAGCGATGAGAGTCGCACAATGCGCAATAAATCAACGGGCAAGGAAGCGGTTCCATTTCTCGGGTTTCGGGCCGTTTCAATTGGTTTCTCTTTCATCTTGCTCAACTGTCCACCTCACCCTTTTTCTAGTGAGCTAACCTTTCATCGTGAATTCTGCCTTTAAATAGCCCTCTGTAGGCCACTACGACTCTGAGCAGTGTTTGATGCGTGGCGCATCCCCTAACAGAATCGGGTCGGTCAATGGTATGGTTGCGGTTAGTCCTTTACTATCTCTTAT